TGCAGCGTCTCACTCACTGCATTGGTGACATAGGGTCCTGCAAAATGGAGTCGTCGACCCTAATCACTCGGTTCATGTGATCAGTGGCTCGAGGATTCCACTCCGCGGCTTCCACTGTCGGCGGAAGGGGAGGAGTCTGTTGTTGCCACTTTTGCTGTTGTTGCTGTTGTTGCTGCTGTTGCTGTTGTTGCTGAGGAGCATGAGGTAACCCACAGCCTCTCCCACTTTGCTGCTGAGCGGAGGGTGCCTTGGATCCCCTGCCAAGGCCATCCTGCCTATGTTTGACCCTTCTCTCTTCTTCTACTTAAGGATCCTGGTCACGCACTTGCCCCCGACTGACGACTCTTGAGGATGGGGTGGTGCTGGTCCCTGCAGATGGGGCCCCACCGACCGATCCTCGTCCCCTCCCGGCAGCAAGGGCTTGCCTCTGCCTCAGGAACCCCAAATCAATGCGAGGCGTGCTGGACATGACTATCTCGAGGGCGTCTTCGACGTCTAGAGATTGTAAAATTTGGAAGTCTGGCCACGAATCTCTCCCCGAAGTCCCCACCTCGATGGGCGAAGGAACCAAGTCCTCTCTGACCCCGAGCGCTTCAACTTCACCCTCTACTTCTGCCTCCGAAGCCCGGTCAGGGTCTTCCTCCAAATTCTCCTCGCCCTCTTGTCCCACCGCCTGATCAAAGAGTTCAGACCACCGCGAAGGCTCGAAAGGCTGGGGAAGCTGTGAAAACTTCTTATATCCAGGAGTGTAATTCAGGAGGATGTGGGCAGCCCGGCCGAACCCGTCGTCACCAGTAAATCTTCAAATTGTGACTAGGTCGGCAAAGTTCACCAACGACCGAGGGGAAGGAGCTGTTTCCCGAGCAGGGACGTCTGCACAAACAAAAAAGGAGTCATGAACATAGAAAATCTCAAAGAACAAAATAATAGACCCGAAGGAACCGACGTACTTGTCGTTCTCCATTCCAAAGGGCATAACAAACCGTTATACTCGGGACCGACACCTCTCTGCCAAGATCCCTTGAAAATAAGTATGTCATCCTTGTACCCCTTGTCCGAGTCGGGAAGGTGAGTTACGAGGTACATAGATGGGTCATTGGCTTTGAGGTAGAAGTGTTGTTGAGGCATGACTCTCAAGAGGGAATAGCAAAAAAGGATATCATTCAGTCCAACATTCACCCCGAGACGCCTATTAAGCTCTAGGACCCCCATAATTATCTTGAAGACATTAAGGCAACACAGCCCGGGGAAAAGGTGGAAATGGGAGAGGAACTGGAGAAGTAGAGGGGGCAAAGGGAATCTAATTCCGCCTTCTATGATGGCTTTGGTATAAAAGGGCATTGCACCCTCGGTACCGAGGGCACGAGGGTGCACAGCCGGGTTATAATCCTCTATGTCTACATACTGTGGGATGCTGTACTTGACCTTAAACCTATTAATTTGCTCACTACCCTTTACTTTATATTTTCCTGACCCCGAAGAACTGGCCTGAGGATTCTCGGGGGCAGGGCGACGACGAGGCATCTCGAAGAAAGTGAGAAAAAGTGGAGGATGTTTTTTCCTTAAAGGTCCCCAAGGAAGCTTCCCGAGGATTGGTCGCTAAGTGGCAACCAAAGACACCTCCAGTTATCGGAAAACCAAAAAGGACAGAAGGACGAAGAAAAGAAAGATACTGGGACTCACCAGAATATAAAAAGAAGTTTTTTTCGGAAAATTTGAAGCGACTCCTTCCAGAATGTTTCAGAAGCAAGGATGGGTCTGCTGGCCTTAAAACTCCGGTGAAATGGTTGGACAGTTGACAACGGAAGGAAAGGGATCTCTGGCAAGGGCTCTGTGAAGAAAAGTTCAGAACGATGAAATGAGAAAAGAAGAGAGGAAGTTCATTTATATATAGCACCTATCCCATCATTGGGCGCGAAGCACGAAAAGGCGCATTTAATACGCACGACGTCCTAAGCAGGGGAAAGCGGCTATAAGCAATAATAAAGCAGTTGGAGTTGTTGTAAAATCCTTCGTCTCCTTACGACGCGTGTCCTCGGTGTCAGAAGATCGAAGGCTGGGGGGCAGTTGATGGAACATTTCTGAAATACTTCTAGATGAAGACACGTGTCCTCGGTGTCATTAATCCTTGTTACCGAGATCACGTACCCATCGGGTCACAAGTCCCCTCTCCCCCGAGGTACTGATTATGGGGATCGAGTGGCATCCAGTACGTTTTTATGTACCGACACGTACCCTCGGTCTGATATGGTACATCGGTCGCTAGGTCTCCCCCTCTCGGATTCAAGATGTACCAATTCCTCGGCTCCGAGATGTACCTATTCCTCGGCTCCGAGATGTACCTCTTCCTCGGCTCTGAGATGTACCTCTTCCTCGGTACCGAGATGTACCCCCCTCATCCAAGATGAAGTTCTCTGCTCCAGCAGAGGCTATTGATGCACTGGTTACTAGCCTAGACTAGGCTAGGTTAGATATCATGACCTCGTCTTACACAATTGGTGTCAGAAGGCACAGGAAGGCAGGGGCCACAGCCAATGAGGAATAGACGCGTGGCATATTGTGTCACATCAGAGACAGAAAGACCGCATGACCTTGCTGACACGCAACTTGGGAAAACAAGCATTTAATTATATCATTCCCTTGATGAGACTGCATTCAATGCGGTAAGGCTCGGAAGTGAAAGGCAATAAATGTCTCTAAGGCTGGGCATTTATTTCATCCTCCCCGAGAGGAGCTCATTGAACCGTCGCAGGCCGATGACACAGTCTTGATTGCTCGGGGTCCCGAGCAGTTAAGAGAGAAGACATTCCTCATAGGAATCAGTGCGCACGTTACCTATATCTAATGATCACCTACTGACCATATTGACAGCAATCATGAGTATTTGAGGTATAAATACTCCTCAATAAAGGCAAGGAAAAGGAGGTGAAACTTTTGCTACAAATTATACTCAGTGTTTTCTTCTTCCACTCTTTCAAAAACTGATTTGATCGTCGGAGGGGATATGCCGAAAAACACTCCAGCACCCTCCTAACTTGTTCTTCTTTGTTCCAGGAACCTTTCTTCAGCCTTACTGGATCGTTCCTTTGATCCGCGAGGATCTCCCATTACCGTTCCAGGTTATCACCGGATCTTACAGGCTATTCCAAGCAGCGTGATTGACCACTCAACTGACTCACTCGAGTTCACCAAAGGAGAGATCTGTTCTCGTTTTTATATTGTGCAAGATCTAGCACGCACAAACTGCATAAGACCAGCTGAAAATCCAGCTGGGAAACAATTTGAAACCCAGCTGAAAGTCCAGTTGAACAGCATGGGAACCAACATTGTGGAAGCCCCAACCTAAACCGAGTGTTGCAGCAGTAAAGGAGCTGAAAAGCCAGCTGAAAACCAGGAAAAACCAGCTGGAGAAGCAGAAAAACCAGCTGAAAAGCAGAAGACTGTTCACGTGAACAGCCCCCTTCCAGCACAAACCACAGCTGCACCACCTGAACAGAAGAAAAAAGAGGCCAGCTGAAAATTCAGCAGAAGTCCAGAGGCAAACCATCAGAAAACCAGCTGAACCGAGCCCTAAATGCAGCAGCTGAGCAAAAAAAACAGCTGAACAGCAGCAGAAAACCCGCTGCCCAGCTGAACACAGCCACCAGGCAGAAAATACAGCAGCAGTCGAACCACAGCCCCAGTAGAGATCATTACCAAAATACACCAAGAAAAGCCACCTTTTGGCTTTAATTCCTCAAGACAGAAAGTAGCAAGACACATAAAACCAAGACCTCAAAAAAGACATCCCCATACACCAGAAGCCTGCAGCAAACCCAGTCATCCACAGTCATCAAAAACCAGAACATTTTTGAAAAGCTGGGAGAGCAGGTTTTGAACAGTTAGTTGCTCCATGTCAAGATGAACAACGTAGCCATGTAAATCTAGAGCTTCAGATTAAGCTACTATAGGAAGATAGGTAAATTTACTTCCCTTATCTTTGGAAAAATAGTCAATTCCAGTGCAATTTTAACATTCAACTTGTACACTTCAATATTTCAAAACATTCTTCTAAAGTCATCTATTTGTTGTAATAGAGAAATGAAGATTACAATCAAATGGCTAAATTCATCAAAAGTAAGTACACATTATGTGGTATGAGATCGATAAATCGGAGGATGTTAATGCATTTTCTCGAGTGCTTGTGCGTACGGCCACGTCGTTAGAAAGAAACAAGTGGTGTACTGAGCATGTTTTTCAGACTAGGTATTGGCTATGAATATAATTTTGAATTTGTTAATTTCTTCTTTTCTCATTTTAATCTTTGTAGTTAAACCTTAACCCTAATACTTAATATGGAAGAATTGAACTAAGTGTTGGGAATCAGTTATTTTATGGGTACTGTCACTATGTATACTAGAGTTTTTGCTTTTGTATTTGCTGATCAATTCAAACACTTGCAAAGTAGGAATTTCCGAATTACCTAAATCTAGAAACATAGGTGATATTCGTCCACTGGTTTCATTGAATTGCCCTAAATTTTGTGGTTCTTGGGTGAACTTTAGATCTTGGTTTTGGTTATTAACTCTTTTGAAAGAATGTAAACAAATCTTTTGAAAGAATGTAAACAAAGTAATTCATAGTGGACACCTAAATAACATTTCTAACACTATTTTAAACACTGGTCTAGAAAGACCCACAAATACTTTTATCTTTCATATGGTTGATTATATTTCATAATTGCGTATCAGTAATATATAATATTTTATATTCAAAATAATTCACGTGCATTGCACGGTGTACACCAACTAGTTTCTCAAAACAACCGCAATTCAAATTGAATGTAACAAAGGATGAAAATTCTCCAACAAATGACCTAAAGCATGTAATTACAAACAAGAGCATACAGATAACAAGTCTTGAGAAAGCGAAATGATAATTATACTAAATAAAAATCTCAGTAACGGCCTGTACAATAGTCTTCACATACACTGCGTTTGAAATTTCATTTGATTTCAGAACTACATATCTTGCTTAGGCTTCCTGCTCAGTTCAGAGTAGTGGCCACCCATTAGCTGCAAAATCTCTTCCCACAAATCCTCTGATGAAGAATTTGAATTTCCAAAAATCAAGTTCGCACTACATGCAGCAACGTACCAATAATCCGATTCAATTTCTTCGATCAACTGATCTAGTTGCCACCCAGCATATCCAACAAAGAATCTGAAATCATGAGGCTTTAACACCCCTGCTTTCACCAATCCGGTAGCTTCATCTAAACTATTTCTAGCACCAAAGCACAGGCCAGGAATTACCCCTTCAAACTCCGGAACCTGTGACTTCCCCCCTGTTCTTAACAAAAACATACTTGCATCAAGGGGCCCACCAAAATGCAAAGAACAATCAGAAAATGTGGTTGCCAGATCCAGATTAGTAGGTTTCATATTTTTTATCTTCTTGTGAAGTGGACGGTTTATGACAACTCCAAATGGCCCCTCTTGTGGGTGCCTGGTACCAGATTTGAGGAGGAGAACAACAGTTCGTTCAAAGGTGCGAACTCCATCAAGCTTTTCCGTGGCAACAAGAACACAGCCCGTCTCAGGGGATGAAATAGGATGCGCCCATTTTAGATCTAGAGGTTTGGACTCAATTAGTGCCCCATCTTTCTTGTTAGTGTCGGAGTCTGCACTTTCAGCCTGCTAAGATTTTCGAGTAGACATATATTGTTTACAGGCACAGACTTCACACAACCAAGATTGATAGCCTATAATTTTAAATTCCTCAATCATGAAATAAAAAGTTTGGCTGCTGCCTGTCAAATTTTTGTTGTCACCTCATAGAGTGGACACGTGTCTTGAATTTATCGGGTACTATAGGTATATGGTAAGAGAAGAATAGATACCTTAGCTCAACAGATTCTCTATACCCCTTTTTTTTTTCCTTTCATTTAATTGGTTTATGTTCAGTTTTTCATTATTGATAACAAGATGGTTAGAAAACCTTTAATTTTTCAACCAACTTGTTCATTTGATATCATACAAAAAACAATATCAATTGTACGTCGAGTATACTAAATAAAAAGGCCAATAAAAAATGGGAGTCCAATGTTATGTTTCAGCATACCAGGGAAGATGCTAAACCAGTCTAGATCTCGTGATGACCAAGTTCAGAACTTTCTTAATTATGGTTGACCCCAAAAAAGAAAAACTGAATGAATATTGTAGGCTCACAGTGAAGAATGACGAATCTGCAATCTACACAGAATACTAGAAAAAAACACTACCTGCTCCTGACAATAGAGAGCTGCTCTAAACTCTCTCCAATCCAAGGTTTTATGATGGGATTTCTGGGAGCCAATCTCATTGGATTGGCTGCTTTTCGAGGAAGGATTGTTTCCTTTTGGACCATCTCCTTCTGGGATTGACTGATCATCATTCCCTGCATATGCACATATGGAAAATATTATTCATTTTTAATAAAGAGTATATAAAACAAAAGAACAACAACTCCTCTCCAAACTTGGAGCAAATGTAGCTGTCAAAAACTAATAACCTAGTTATGGCACAAATAAAAATGGTGTTTCACTAATTAATTAAATCTCAAGCTTACAAATTTCAGAATAACACTCTGGTACTAAGCATCAAAAGCTAATGAACCAGTATACACACTACTTATAACAAGAGTGTAATACTTTTAACGAATGCATGAATTTGCACATTGTTGGCCAGCTAACACATAACAAGGTAAACCTATCTGGAGCATGAAAGCAACAACAGTCTAACAAAACATGAAGTTAAATTGGAGAAGAGAATTTACAATGAGACTGAAAAAAAATGTAGACAAAGTAGCTATTAACAAAGGACACACTTTCTTCTACAGGTTTTGATAAGATAGCACAGTAGCATAGTTAAAGGATAAGGGTTTGTCGATAGAAATGAAATGACTGATGCAACTTTAAAGTGGTGTTGCGTAGAAATTTGCTCAATCTAACACGTAGTTCCAACAATGGAATTAACACAAGCAAAAAAGTAATGACCCGACGATGAGAAGGACACTCATATCCGATAGCTATAACGCATATGTTGACGGGCAAGCATGTGTGAATCAAAGTAGTTTGCTCCTGTATTACAAAAAAAGGATTTTAATAGGGACTTTGATTATTATTCTTTGATAAACCATTTTGGTCGGTGGGACTCTTTTAGTACTTCTCAGTCATAAGGCACTCAATCTGAGCAATCCATTCTCCCTAGTCTCTTACATTATAGTAATGCAGTCTCTTATCAAAAAAGTGCAAAAGGTGGTGGAAGGACGTAGGTTGGAGGCTTCTATATATTCGGGTGTAGTGGCTGGGAGATCCTATAGTTTCTCACTTACAATATGCAGATGACTATCATTTCCTCTAGAGCTGATAAATAGGGTTGAGTGTTCCATAGAAGAAGGACGTGTCCACATTCTATCCATGTCAACCTATATTTCCACGGAAAAGTATCATCTCCAAGTTAAGAAAGACAATATATGCATATTCAAATACCACTAGCAAAACCAAACAAGAATATTTGATAAATTGCAAGGAAACAATTTTGTAATGTTCACATTCTGAAGATATCATTCACAATAATAATCAAATTTTTGTTATTTGTAATCACAAGTATCTACGTTTGATACACATCGTTCTATGTTATCAAAACTTTATCACCTCAGCATGTTAGTATTGCAACATACTTGCATGCAAAATGATGTCCATGAATGATGCATGAGCTCAAAATTGATGGCTCTCTAACAATTCATGGTGTTATCATGATGCATTGGTCATCCCAAACGTTACTGAACACTATGTGCTAAAAGCTAGGAAGCACGGATACTCGTCAGGGGGTCGTCATGGCAGTGTCCGACACGTGTCCGACACTTGTAGAAGTGTCCTGAACAATGGCTTCGATTTTTTTTAAATCGGATACGGCTCGCATACATGGGGGATACCGGAGGACACAAAAGGGACACGATAGGATACGGCGGGATACTTTTGTTATTTTAAAAACTTAGGGAGCCGAACAAAAAAAAAAGCCAAAGCTACCTCGTTTGGCTTGAAAAAGAAAAAACAAAAGTGAAAAAGACATCTGTGAACGTAAAGATTTGACATTTAGTGTGTTCGAGAGAGAGGGAGAGAGAATAAAAGAGGAGAACAAGCTCGAGAGGACTAGAGGAGGAGAAAGAGAGGGAAGTGGAAGAAAGACTAACTCACGACTACGACTTGGATCTGGACTTGGCGACATGCGATTACTGCCCAGTCTCTTGTTGGTTCTTCTTGTAGCTTCAATTTTTTTTTTTTTCAAATCTACTACTGCTGCTCTTACTTCTTCTGGTTTATATAGACCTTCAAAAAATTTGATTAGGTTAATTTGATTGGGTTAGGATTTTAGGGTTTTCAAAATTTGAGAATTTTTTTTTGTTGTTATTGTGCTATTGTTTTTCTCAGTCTTCTTGCTATGTTGCTGCCTTTAGGGTTTTTTTTTTTTCGGTCTAGTGCTGTGTTGTTGCCTGCAAGATTTTTTTTGTCTCAATCATCTGTGTTGTTGCCTTCTGTGCTACTGTGCTGCTGTCTGCTGGCTTTAAATACTGAAAATTACTTTCCTAACTAGCTTCTATCTTCTCTTTTTTGTTGTGCTACTATGTTTTTCTTTTTTTTGGTCATCTATGATGCTGTCTTCTGTGCTAGTGTGCTGCTGCCTGCTAGTTTTGAATAGCAAAAATTGTTTTCCTTACTAACTTCTGTCTTCTCTTTTTGTTGTGCCGTTATATTTTTTTTTTTAGTCATTTGGGTTGCCTGCTGCCTTCTAAAAATTCTTGTGCTGTTGTCTGTTATTTAGGATTTAGAAAAAATGAATTCTCTTGTTGATGCCAGTGGAGACGGCAGTGGGGATGGCAATGATGATCACACCCCTTATGGAAATGTCTCAAAAATAGATAAAATTGGCGTAGAGGGAGGAAATGTTCAGTTTCAATGAAATTTGTGTCAACTAAGTTTTATTGGATCATATTATAGGGTTAAGGCACATTTGTTAAAAATCAACAGTCATGGAGTTCAAGTATGCCGGAAAGTGACTCTGCAATTATTAATTGAAATGCAAAGGTTAGTTGATGAAATTAAGGTGAGAGTGAAAAGAAGTTTGCTCAAACAAGTCCCTTTACCACCATTTTCAGCATCAAGCAAACCTGCTTCCTCGAGTGCAAGTGTTAGTAGTGCTATGGGAATGGGATTTGATTCATTAATGCAGGGGGTTGGTTTAGATCGAAAAAAAAGGAAGGCTACTTCTCCTCTTGAGAAAGCCTTTAATGTTGGAGCTCGAGAAGAGCTACATAGTGAGATTGCAAGAATGTTTTACTCAGCTGGTTTACCACTCCACCTTGCAAGGAATTCACATTATTGTCGCTCCTATACTTTTGTAGCTACTCATATGATTAGTGGCTATATCCCTCCTAGTTATAATATGTAGAAAACTTCACTTCTTCAAAAGTGAGAGCAAACATCGAGAGGTTGTTAGAGCCAAAGAAGCAACCATGGAAAGAAAAATATGTAAGTATTGATTCTGATGGTTGGGCGGATGCTCAAAGGAGGTCAATCATAAATTTCAAGGCAGTGTGTGAAAGTGGGCCTATATTCTTGAAAGTAGTTAATTGTGAAGATGAATATAAGAACAAATATTTCATATCCAACTTGCTTCTGGAGATCATTCATGCAGTTGGACCTCAAAATGTGGTCCAAGTTATCACTGATAATGCACCCGTTTGTAGGAGTGTGGGAATGCTTGTTCAGGGTCGTTATAAACACATTTTTTGAACCCCTTGTGTGATGCACACACTTAATCTTGCTTTGAAAAATATTTGTGCACCAAAAAACACCGAAACCAATAGACATGTTTATGAAGAGTGTAATTGGATCTCAATTATTGTGGGGGATTGTGTGGGTATTAAAAATTTTATTATGAACCACAACGTGAGATTGAACATGTTTAATGATCATATGAATTTGAAGATGCTCTCAATTGCGGAGACACATTTTGCTTCAACCATAGTGATGTTTAAAAGATTTAAAGTTCTAAAACGTGGTATCTAAAACGTGGTATCTATATTAATGGTCTTCTTATATAGAAGATGATATTGAAAAAGCAGCATTTGAGAAGGAGAAAACATTAGATGATTTGTGGTGGGACAAAATTGATTATATACTTTCCTTTACTGAACTCATTTATGAGATGCTAAGGAAGGCCGATACAGATATGCCTTGCCTATACTTAGTTTTATGATATGTGGGATTCTATGATGTGGAGGTTATTATCTTTTGTCATGAAGGGAAGTAAGAAGATGAGAAATCAATATTTTATTCAATGGTTTATGAAATATTAATGGATACATGGGGCAAGAGCAACACACCGCTCCATTGCTTGGCACATTCCTTGAATCCGATGTAATTTGTAAACTTTAAACTTCAAGATTCTAGATATCAAATGATTATCATTTTATTTACTTTGTCTTTTAGATATTATAATGTGGAATGGTTTTCTATGACTCCTAATCGGGTTCCTCCACACAAAGATGAAGAGATTTCAAATGAAAACACCGGATCTCACAGCCGAGATCACACAAGTCTCAGATTTTTCACAGGTCCTTCAAGTTAAAAACAAAAAAAAAAAAAAAAAAGGGAAAAAGCAAAAATCACACAAGTCTCAGATTTTTCACAGAAATCACATGTCTAGTTCAGTCTTCCAAGCAAAAAAAAAAAAAGAGAGAGAAGAGAGAGAAAAAGGCACCAGACGAAATCGAGCACACAGAGAGAAGAAAGGCACACAGAGACCAGAAATTAAAGGAGAAGACTTTAATAACTTACCTCATTGAGTCTAGATTTTAGCAGATCCAACCATATTCTACACAGATCTAGGGCTTGGGAGTTGGGCTTCATCACTGCAAGCTGCAATCAGGAGCCAAGAGATACTAAGTATGTTCTTCTTCTTCTTCTCTCTCTCTCTCCGGCATCGGCATCGCCCATCGCCTCTCTGTTCTCTAGCTTTGGGTTTGTTCCTGGGTCACGAGATGTGCTCCCTTGTATATATGTATATATGTTTTTTTTGGTTATGAGTAGGAATAATTACATTCAATACCCCCACTGAATTTCAACTTTTTAATACCCCCACTGCATTTAATACACACACTGCATTTTAACTTGTTATAAGTATGTTCATTATTTTATTTTTTTTTGTAATTATTCTTTTATGTTATTATTATTTGTTAAATTAGTATATTAAATAACTGAAAGTCGTTTAATATACCAATAATTGGTAGAATTAAATATTTATGTGTATAAATTGTGTATACAATAATTTTAATATTAATAAAATTAGACCGTATCCTTGTACCTGTATCCAAATTTGGATTCATATTCCTCGTATCCACTAATTTTTGACTTGAGATGTCAAACACCTAAATTCACACCCGCACCCAATACGCGCACCCGCGTCCGAGTAACATAGGATAGCTCGCTAAATCCAAGGTGTTTTACATGATAGATTTGAGAAGCGGATATCATCAAATTCGAATGAGACGTTGTGACGAGTGAAAGACCGCCTTCAAGACACTGGATGGACTCTTTGAGTGGTCAATGATGCCATTTGGACTCTCTAATGCTCCGATTACATTTATGAGAGTTATGATATAGGTACTAAAACCTTTCTTGGGATTATTTGTTGTTTACTTTGATAAGAATATATAGCCAGACTTGAGAGAAGCATCTTGATGTAAAATTTACATCAAGTCATGGAGGTTCTCATAAGGAGAAACTCTATAGTCTATACAATAAGAAGAAGTGATCTTTCTTGTGCAACGAATTTGTGTTCCTTGGCTTTGCTATTTCAGCAATGGCTTACAACCCAACCCAAAGAAAGTAAGAGTTGTCAAGGAGTAGTCAATACCACAGTCTATGGGTTATGTTTGCAGTTTCCATGGATTGGCTTCGTCTCTAGAGGAGGTTTATATGGAATTTCAGCTTAATTATGAGTTCAATCACAGAATGTATGACAGAAGTTGATATTAGGTGGTCAAAATCAATACAAATGACATTTGAACAAATTAAAGAGATGATGACAACAACTCAAGTGCTCGTTCCACCAAACTTTGAGAAGCTTTTCACAATGGAATGTGATGCAACACATGGAAATAGTACTGCTCTTAGTCAAGAAGGAAGGCCCGTGGAATTTTTTAGTGCGTAGTTAATAGAAGCCAAACATCATTATTCCACCTATGATTTGAAATTTTATGCACTTGTTCGAGCCATTCAACATTGGGAGCATTACCTAGGATATAGAGAGTTTGTTGTTTGTTCCGATCATCAAGCCTTGAGGTACTTGAATTCCCGAAGAAGCTATATTCAAAACATGCCAAGTGGCATTCTTACATACAAGAGT